CTTAGGTCTTAGTGTTGTGGGGGTGGGTTAACTTGCTTGAAGGCAGCAAGAGCAAAGTCTGGGTCCCTGACTGGCCATCCCATGCTGACTATGGATACTGCCTGCCAGTCACAGTAAGTTTCTACACCTACATGGGAGATGGGACTCAGGACCAAGAGACCCCTCTGCTGAAAGGCCCTCTACCTGCTCTGCTCTCTTTGGTCATTTGGATGGAGTCTGGCTGCCTGCCTGTAGCTAAGCAGAGCTATAGATGTGCATCCTTGAGGCAGTAGCCTTTGCTGCCATCTCATTCACACCAAAGACTTCCCGTACTTGGTGTTGGGCCAGGTCTATGCATTTGGGTCTATAGCTTTTTAAAGTTCCTAGGGTGAAATCTTGGACCCAGTGAAGTCAATGAGTGTTTGCCATTGACGTCAATGGGGGTAGAATTTCAACCCTAATCTATCTTCTTTTTTTCCTAGAACTGGTTTAAAAAAGTTTTGTGAGTAATTTCAAAGCCGTTTAAGGTTCAAATGGTTCTAAGTGGACCAAGGTCTAAGTTTTTAGACATTTTTATTGAAAGCAGCAGTTCTGAAACTTTAGCAACCTGAGGTCCCCCATTTTGATTAAAAAATGTTTGGGGACCCCCAACCCTCCCCCGCTCAGCTCAGGCCCTGCCCCTGCTCTGAGGCCCTGCCCCTGCCTGCTCTCCCCCACCCTCACTCGCTTTCACCAGGCTGTGGCAGGGAGTTGGGGTGCAGGAGGGGGTGTGCGCTGTGAGCTGGGGCAGGGGGTTGGGGTGCAGGAGGGGGTGTGGGCTCTGGGAAGGAGTTTGGATGCGGGGTGCAGGCTCTGGGCAGGGGGTTGGCGGGGGTGAGGGGTGTAAGCTTTGCCAGGAGGTGCTTACCTCAGGTAGCTCCTGGAAGCGACTGGCACATCTCTCTGACAGTGGCCTCTAGGTGGGGGCCAGGTGCTCACTCCACTCGCTGCCCCTGCCTGCAGGCACTACCCCCGCAGCTCCCATTGGCCATAGTTCCCGGCCAATGGGGGCTGCGGAGTTGGTGCTCAGAGTGGGGACAGCGCACAGAGACTCCCTGTCCCCCCACCCCAAAAAGGGCTGCAGGGACTTGCCGGCCACTTCTGGGAATGGTGCAGAACCAGGGCAGGTAGGAAGCCTGCCTTAGCCCCACTGCATCACCAGATTTTTAGGGTGCAGGAGGCACAGGGAGGGAGGGGGAGGAGTTGATCAGCAGGGCCCGTGGACCCCCTCGGAAACCTCCAGGGGTCCACGGACCCAGTCTGAGAAACACTGATCTAAAGCATTATCCATAGGGCCATGAAAAATGTGTCATGGACTGTGAAATCTGGTCTTTGTGTGCTTTTATCCTATACTGTACAGATTTCACAGGGGAGACCAGCGTTTCTCAAATTGGACGTCCTGTCCAAAAGGGAGTTGCAGGGGGGTCACAAGGTTATTTTAGGGCGGTCGCGGTATTGCCACCCTTACTTCTGCTCTGCCTTCAGAGCTCAGCAGCCAGAGAGCGGCGATGTTGGCCGGGCGCCCAGCTCTGAAGGCAGCGCCGCTGCCAGCAGCAGCGCAGAAGTAAGGGTAGCAGTACCGCAACCCCCCACCAGTAACCTCGTGACCCCCCCAAACTCCTTTTTGGGTCAGGAACCCTACAATTACAACACCATGACATTTCAGATTTAAATAGCTGAAATGAAATTTACTATTTTTAAAATCCTATCACCGTGAAATTGACCAAAAAGGACCGTGAATTTGCTATGGTCCTAATTATCAATATTTTTCATCTGCCAAAACTGAGTTTTTCATAAACATATGTTGTTGAGGTGTTTGCTTTTAAAATAATAACTCTGGTATGAAAAATGGAAGAAACACAAACCCCAAACCAATATTGACCTTTTAAAAACCACTTTTTGAAACAGAACAATTTTTAATTACAAACTTTTCAAAAACTTCAGACCAGCTCTACTTTTTCCACAGGACCTGCCCTTGGCCCATGAAGACAGAAAGTTTCACAAACCCGTAATACTAATGAGTCCTACCACTGCTACTCTGAATTTTGGGTTGCAGAACCGTAAGTGCAGTTGATCTTCCCTCTGGAGCTCTGGTAACAGAGAAGCACAGTCTCCAACAGGAAGCTCCTTCACTGACCAGGTTCAAGAAGGAACTGATTGGGGATGCTCAGAGGGCAACATATATGCTTAGCAAGGGGTGGTGTATGACAGCCAGTAGTGGGCCTAGATTGTGTCCTGTTCCTGCTCCTACTGTCATTAAGGGTTAAAATATCTTAAGACTAAAGGCTGTTTCATTTATCTCATGCTAAGACCCAGCAGTGAGAATGCTGTACAGATTATATCTTTAGACAGAAAACTATTGTGGGGGAGGGGGCAGTTTATGTCCCCTCCAGTCTTTGCCCTTCTCCTCCCATTTCACCTGCACTTGATATTGTCTAAGGAACATCAAAAGCTTCTCTAGGGAGCATTAGAAGCCTGCTTGCTGTGTTCATTAATGAACCAGAGTTTGTTGTTAGCCTCTGTCCATCCTTTCAAGCAGGTGTCACAGCAGCCAGTAGCAATTACAGCTGTATTCAGGGGACAGCAGCATAATTCAGCCAGTCAAAAACAATCTAAATGGAGTGAAGCTTTCACAGTTTAGGGATTATATATTTTTAGCAAGCAGCATGATGTGATCCAACCAGATAGCTGTGTTTTTATAAATGGAGCACTTGATCTTTTCTTTATAGCAGGTGACAGTATAATATTCAGAGAGGTCAACAAGAGGAAAGGAAAATGATCGCTAGGTGGAAGAAGGAGAGTGGGGGAGGAGGAAGTTTGCATCAGATTAGCAGTATCATTTGGTCCTGCAAAAGTACAGGGTGTCAGATTTTCCAGGGTTCAGCTTCCCTTTGAGCCCCAAACTAAGTTGTAAGATTTTCAAAAGGATGCTGAGCTCTTTTCAAAAGATTGGGTGCCCAATTGTGTGAAAATCTGGCCTTTAATCAGAAGCCTAAATGAGAACTGAATTCTTCTGAAAATCTGGTTTGTAGGTGTCAAGGTTCCTCCCCCACTCTGAACTCTAGGGTACAGATGTGGGGACCTGCATGAAAAAACCTCCTAAGCTTATCTTTACCAGCTTAGGTCAAAACTTCCCCAAGGTACAAAATATTCCCCCCCGTTGTCCTTGGACTGGCCGCTACCACCACCAAACTAATACTGGTTACTGGGGAAGAGCTGTTTGGACGCGTCTTTCCCCCCAAAATACTTCCCAAAACCCTGCACCCCACTTCCTGGACAAGGTTTGGTAAAAAGCCTCACCAATTTGCCTAGGTGACTACAGACCCAGACCCTTGGATCTTAAGAACAATGAACAATCCTCCCAACACTTGCACCCCCCCTTTCCTGGGAAATGTTGGATAAAAAGCCTCACCAATTTGCATAGGTGACCACAGACCCAAACCCTTGGATCTGAGAACAATGAAAAAGCATTCAGTTTTTTACAAGAAGACTTTTAATAAAAATAGAAGTAAATAGAAATAAAGAAATCCCCCCCTGTAAAATCAGGATGGTAGATATCTTACAGGGTAATTAGATTCAAAAACATAGAGAACCCCTCTAGGCAAAACCTTAAGTTACAAAAAAGATACACAGAAATAGTTATTCTATTCAGCACAATGCTTTTCTCAGCCATTTAAAGAAATCATAATCTAACACATACCTAGCTAGATTACTTACTAAAAGTTCTAAGACTCCATTCCTGGTCTATCCCCGGCCAAGACCCAGCATACAGACAGACCGAGACCCTTTGTTTCTCTCCCTCCTCCCAGCTTTTGAAAGTATCTTGTCTCCTCATTGGTCATTTTGGTCAGGTGCCAGCGAGGTTACCTTTAGCTTCTTAACCCTTTACAGGTGAGAGGAGCTTTCCCCTGGCCAGGAGGGATTTCAAAGGGGTTTACCCTTCCCTTTATATTTATGACAGTAGGTAATTAGATTTTTTTTCAAGACATTTTTGCTTCCTCTGCCTTTTAAAAACTGTGATGTAGTTATTACTGGAGCAGAATATGCCACCTAGTTGGTGGTTCCCTTTCGATAATGGATGAATGGTCCCTATATTTGAAGTCTGTAAAGTGTTTTTAGATCCTCCTGGATGAAAGGAGGTAAATAGGAGATGTTTTATTGAACCTTTTGAGTATTTTGCTGTGTAAAATTGATAGTTGAATTCTACATCCTATTGGAAGTGTTATTTCAGGGTGAAAACAATGCCACATTTTAGAAGCTTATGGAGAAAAGAGGTTGCTGGGGAGAGTCCCAGAAATCTGTCGTGTACAGGCTTGCTTCCCAGAAACAGACTTCTTATCTGAATTCCACCCACTGCTTTCAGCTCGCTGGTAATCACAATGGAACTTATCTAGGCTTGCAGGTCTGAGAAGAGTCTAGTGGAGATGCTGAGAAAAATGTGAGGAAATAAATTGCAAGACAGTAAACCTATCACCTCAGGGATATTGTTGCCTGGAAGGGTAGTTACCTGTCTCATGTCTCCCATGCATGTCTCAAATCAGGATCCAATTATAATGCTTTGCACTTATTTAGTGCTTTTCATCCATGGATCTTCAAATACTGCTACAGATACTTAAGAACAGAGGCTTACAATGCCCATGTGAGGTGAGGTACATTTTTTTTGCAGTTACAAATGGGGAGGATATTGCAACTTCCCAAGTTCCAAGGAAGTCTATGAAAGAGTTTTTGTTGGGAATCCAGGCATTCTTGCTCTTAGTCCTGGGCTTTATCTAAGAAAATCTGTAACCTGAAAAAGTCATAGAGCAAAGTATTATATGTAAGATTTCAGGCTGAGGACTTGAACATAAACTTACTATTTTTGTTGGCATTAGAATTCATAAAACAATTGCAGGAGGAATGTAGAAGAAATACACTGACCAACTGAGACTGTTGAGACACTATTACATCTCTGTTAGTCAATATGTCTTTTTTTTTTTCTACAGCATCAGTTATTTCTGCAAGAACAACTTTATCTGTGATCGGTTGAGAAGGATTGTGTGTCTGGAACATCAAAGCCACCACAATGAAGCACTTCCTGAGGTAACCCTTCTCCAAAACCATGTCTAATGATAACTCGTTTCATTGTAGAACAATTTTGCTGTATTTTGGCCATAATCTTCCATGTTACTAGTGGAATATAACTTATTTTTGGTTGCTTTTCAGCCACTTTGCCACTACCATTTAATTAAAACTGTCAAAATGTTAGATTTTATTAAAACTTCATTTTCAGTTATACAGAATATTGGAACTGGCCTATTGAATTAGATCAGTGGCATGTCACCAGTACTTGATGTTTCAGAGGAAAGTTGAAGAAACTCACAAATGGACAACTAAAGAATGATCCGTTAATGGCAGAGAATCCCTTTGGTACTGCAGATTTCAGTATTGTTACTTGAGGTTGATCATCCATAATGATCTGGTACCTGAGCCAAACTTGCTGCCATGACTCTCTTGTTTAAATGGGTTTCCTTCACTACTTCTGTCAGCAGTGATGTACTGCTAAATTTTATAGCATAGGAGCCCTGTAGAGGGGATCTCAAGTTAGTAATTCTGTCACGTGCGATAGGGTTTGAATATGGGTGCTTTTGTCTTATGGTGACACAAGGATTTTAGATTTTGGAGGCTAAAGTTTTACCAAGAAATTTTATCTAATGGAAAATCTGCACAACAGCAATTGCGAGCCTTCATGCATTGGTAATAAATATACATACGTCTCAACATGAAACACACACAACTCCGGTTTTATTTGCCAAACTTCTTATTGGCCAAACTAGGTAACAAGGGACGTTCAAAGCACATGTGTTGTTAGTCAAAAAGCCCACTGGCAGCACATGTAAAATACTGTCTTTACAACATTCATGTTCTCTGCAAACTTCATATGAGGGGAAGATTCATTGGTTTGCTCCAGCTACTTGTGAGTACTCCATAAACCTGATTTGACTGGCTAATCAGACCAGGGTGACAATAGTTTTCTACAAGCCCCCACTTATCCTGATCGACATCCCAGCAGCTGTGACACACACCCTGTTCACTGCAGCCCCTCATCCCGCAGGCTCTCAACACTCCCTGTTCACCCCTTAGCCCACCGACAACTCTCCCTCCTGCCGCTCACCCACCGCCCCTGGGACTTTCCTGGCCATTCACCAGCACATCCCTGGCTCAACACTCTGCTTCTGTCCCAGGCTAGAGGGACTCCTCTTAACCATAGTTACCCAGCAGCTTCGCTAGCTGCCATCGCCCAGCTAACACACACGCAGCACAGGCCAAATTTGAGTGATGAGTGGTATTGCGGCCTTGCACATGGGATCACAGTGCCAGTCCAGTTTGGTGCAGGCAGAGGGAGGCCAGGCCAAACCTGAGCGGCACTGACATTAAGCGCCAGGTTGCACCGTCACTAGGGGTTTGGTCCAGGAGGCTGCTCCTCCATCATGATGAAGGAGCGGCTAGGCCAAACCTGAGTGACACTGCAACCTTGCGTGCCAGGTCGCAATGGCACTTGCTCAAATTTGGCCCGGCTGTTCCCTGCCCTGAAGGAAGGGTGGCCGGGACAAATGGGAATGGCATTGGAACCCCGTTCACCAGGTGAAGTGCCAGTGGGCTGCTCTGTCCTGGATTTCAGGTGCCGGAGCTACGCTCCGGACCACTCCAGCACCGCAACACCCCATCTGTCACTGACTGTATATAAGCCCCCGGGGAGTGTTGCTGATGATTTAGATTTGTATGCACGCAGCCAGCTCTGATTTTAATGTGCTGTTAGTAAAGCTCCTGTTTTAGTCAAGCCCAAATCAGATAGACAGTGCCTTCATTTTGACCCATATAACCACTTCCCTGTTGTTTCTGATTCTTTTCCTGTTGGGTGACTAATTAGGGAGGGTTAGAATCATAGAATCATAGAATATAAGGGTTGGAAGGGACCCCAGAAGGTCATCTAGTCCAACCCCCTGCTCAAAGCAGGACCAATTCCCAGTTAAATCATCCCAGCCAGGGCTTTGTCAAGCCTGACCTTAAAAACCTCTAAGGAAGGAGATTCTACCACCTCCCTAGGTAACGCATTCCAGTGTTTCACCACCCTCATAGTGAAAAAGTTTTTCCTAATATCCAATCTAAACCTCCCCCACTGTAACTTGAGACCATTACTCCTCGTTCTGTCATCTGCTACCATTGAGAACAGTCTAGAGCCATCCTCTTTGGAACCCCCTTTCAGGTAGTTGAAAACAGCTATCAAGTCCCCCCTCATTCTTCTCTTCTGCAGGCTAAACAATCCCAGCTCCCTCAGCCTCTCCTCATAACTCATATGTTCCAGACCCCTAATCATTTTTGTTGCCCTTCGCTGGACTCTCTCCAATTTATCCACATCCTTCTTGAAGTGTGGGGCCCAAAACTGGACACAGTACTCCAGATGAGGCCTCACCAATGTCGAATAGAGGGGAACGATCACGTCCCTCGATCTGCTCGCTATGCCCCTACTTATACATCCCCAAATGCCATTGGCCTTCTTGGCAACAAGGGCACACTGCTGACTCATATCCAGCTTCTCGTCCACTGTCACCCCTAGGTCCTTTTCCGCAGAACTGCTGCCTAGCCATTCGGTCCCTAGTCTGTAGCTGTGCATTGGGTTCTTCCGTCCTAAGTGCAGGACCCTGCACTTATCCTTATTGAACCTCATCAGATTTCTTTTGGCCCAATCCTCCAATTTGTCTAGGTCCTTCTGTATCCTATCCCTCCCCTCCAGCGTATCTACCACTCCTCCCAGTTTAGTATCATCCGCAAATTTGCTGAGAGTGCAATCCACACCATCCTCCAGATCATTTATGAAGATATTGAACAAAACCGGCCCCAGGACCGACCCTTGGGGCACTCCACTTGATACCGGCTGCCAACTAGACATGGAGCCATTGATCACTACCCGTTGAGCCCGACAATCTAGCCAGCTTTCTACCCACCTTGTAGTGCATTCATCCAGTCCATACTTCCTTAACTTGCTGACAAGAATACTGTGGGAGACCGTGTCAAAAGCTTTGCTAAAGTCAAGAAACAATACATCCACTGCTTTCCCTTCATCCACAGAACCAGTAATCTCATCATAGAAGGCGATTAGATTAGTCAGGCATGACCTTCCCTTGGTGAATCCATGCTGGCTGTTCCTGATCACTTTCCTCTCATGCAAGTGCTTCAGGATTGATTCTTTGAGGACCTGCTCCATGATTTTTCCAGGGACTGAAGTGAGGCTGACTGGCCTGTAGTTCCCAGGATCCTCCTTCTTCCCTTTTTTTAAAGATTGGCACTACATTAGCCTTTTTCCAGTCATCCGGGACTTCCCCGGTTCGCCACGAGTTTTCAAAGATAATGGCCAATGGCTCTGCAATCACAGCCGCCAGTTCCTTCAGCACTCTCGGATGCAACTCGTCCGGCCCCATGGACTTGTGCACGTCCAGCTTTTCTAAAAAGTCCCTAACCACCTCTATCTCCACAGAGGGCTGGCCATCTCTTCCCCATTTTGTGATGCCCAGCGTAGCAGTCTGGGAGCTGACCTTGTTAGTGAAAACAGAGGCAAAAAAAGCATTGAGTACATTAGCTTTTTCCACATCCTCTGTCACTAGTTTGCCTCCCTCATTCAGTAAGGGGCCCACACATTCCTTGGCTTTCTTCTTGTTGCCAACATACCTGAAGAAACCCTTCTTGTTACTCTTGACATCTCTGGCTAGCTGCAGCTCCAGGTGCGATTTGGCCCTCCTGATAACATTCCTACATGCCCTAGCAATATTTTTATACTCTTCCCTGGTCATATGTCCAACCTTCCACTTCTTGTAAGCTTCTTTTTTATGTTTAAGATCCGCTAAGATTTCACCATTAAGCCAAGCTGGTCGCCTGCCATATTTACTATTCTTACGACTCATCGGGATGGTTTGTCCCTGTAACGTCAACAGGGATTCCTTGAAATACAGCCAGCTCTCCTGGACTCCTTTCCCCTTCAAGTTAGTCCCCCAGGGGATCCTGGCCATCCGTTCCCTGAGGGAGTCGAAGTCTGCTTTCCTGAAGTCCAGGGTCCGTATCGTGCTGCTTACCTTTCTTCCCTGTGTCAGGATCCTGAACTCAACCAACTCATGGTCACTGCCCCCCAGATTCCCATCCACTTTTGCTTCCCCCACTAATTCTACCCGGTTTGTGAGCAGCAGGTCAAGAAAAGCGCCCCCCCTAGTTGGCTCCTCGAGCACTTGCGCCAGGAAATTGTCCCCTACGCTTTCCAAAAACTTCCTGGATTGTCTATGCACCGCTGTATTGCTCTCCCAGCAGATATCAGGAAAATTAAAGTCACCCATGAGAATCAGGGCATGCGATCTAGTAGCTTCCGTGAGCTGCCGGAAGAAAGCCTCATCTACCTCATCCCCCTGGTCCGGTGGTCTATAGCAGACTCCCACCACTACATCACTCTTGTTGCACACACTTCTAAACTTAATCCAGAGACACTCAGGTTTTTCTGCAGTTTCGTACCGGAGCTCTGAGCAGTCATACTGCTCCCTTACATACAGTGCTACTCCCCCACCTTTTCTGCCCTGCCTGTCCTTCCTGAACAGTTTATAACCATCCATGACAGTACTCCAGTCATGTGAGTTATCCCACCAAGTCTCTGTTATTCCAATCACGTCATAGTTTCTTGACATCACCAGGACCTCCAGTTCTCCCTGCTTGTTTCCAAGGCTTTGTGCATTTGTATATAAGCACTTGAGATAACCTGTTGATCGCCCCTCATTCCCAGTATGAGGCAGGAGCCCTCCCCTCACAGACATTCCTGCCTGTGCTTCCTCCCGGTATCCCGCTTTCCCACTTACCTCAGGGCTTTGGTCTCCTTCCCCCGGTGAACCTAGTTTAAAGCCCTCCTCACTAGGTTAGCCAGCCTGCTCGCGAAGATGCTCTTCCCTCTCTTCGTTAAGTGGAGCCCGTCTCTGCCTAGCACTCCTTCTTGGAACACCATCCCATGGTCGAAGAATCCAAAGCCTTCTCTCCGACACCACCTGCGTAGCCATTCGTTGACTTCCACG